AAGCAGTTATACTAGAGGTGCTCTGGGTACAATTACTAACTACACACTTAGACTCTGATTCTAAAGTCACACTAAGAACTGTGTTAACTGTAGTAACCTATGTGCCAGAGATTCCCAGATAGATGTTACTTCAGAGGTCAGATGATGTCAGTGACAAGTTTGGGTTTTGTCTAGTCAAACTTAATTGTCATACCAAGTTAAATAAAAACCCCCTTTTAAATGTAAAAATTTCCCCCATGTGTGTTCTCAGGATTTGAGTGAGAAAAAAAAAGTTAAATCATTCACTAAAAGTTTGACTGAATTTTAAAATGAATAGTCTTATGTCTACATACCGCCACCAAGTGGAAGAGAAAAGCATTTCTTGTCAGTTGAGAGGTGCTGAAAAAGAGGAGAAAGATACATGTTGTTTCGAAGGATTCATTTTATAGCAGCCCTTAAAAGTCAGTTTCAGACACAGAAATGCACCTTAATTTTTCTTTGGTTAACTATTTGGGTGCTTATTCCACACTCCCTTCAATTTCCTTTATCTTCATTCTTGTGTATATATTTATATTTCATCTGATTATTACTTCTGAGCTATGTGGAAATAAAGTTCTGGTTAGTTTACTTTTAGGAGTGGCAGTTTGGGGCCATTAAAGCTATGATTTCATCTGCGTCTTACAAAAGAATTGTTTCAATTCTGATTAATTTATTAATTATTTTCTTGTCTTAGTTATTTTGAATAATTCTAGTGACTATGGAAAAATAAATAGGACATTATTTCGGGGGAGGGGGAAGAGAAAAATAGGGCTTTAAAGAGCCTTCATATTTTTTTTATATTTATTGTATGCTTAAAACTTTCATGGTAGAAAGAATCTTGATCAGTGCTTTGGGCTTTTTTGTTATTGTTGTTGTTTGGGGGGGTTGTTATGAGAAGGTCTGGTCTCCCTATAGCATTGGCTGTGCTGTTCTGGAACTCACTGCATAGACCAGGCTGGTGTTGAACTCAACAGATCTGCCTGCCTCTGCCTATGAGTGTTTGGATTAAAGGTGTAGACCACTGTTTTAGTCAGTGTTCCATTGCTGTGAAGAGACACATGACAGCAGCAACACTTATAAAGATAAGCATTTAATTGGGGCTGGCTTACAGTTCAGAGGTTTAATCCATTATCATGGCATCATGCAGGCGGGCATCGTGCTGGAGGAGCTTGAGAGTTCTACTTTTTTGTTTTTTGAGACAGAGTTTATCTGCATAAGAGTTCTGGCTTCCACTTTGTAGACCAGGCTGGCCTGAAACTCACAGGAGTACTACATCTTGATCCACAGGCAGCAGAAGGAGACTGTGTGCCACACTGGGCATAGTTTGAGCATATGAAACCTCAAAGCCACCCCCATAATGGCACACTACCTCCAGTAAGACCACACCTCCTAATAATGCCAGTCTCTAAGGGGCAAGCATTCAGACACATGAATCTGTAGTGGATATTCCTATTCAAACCACCACAGTCATAATGCCTGGTTTTGATTAGTGTTTTATATAAAGAACTTTAGTTTGAGTAATTTTGTTTTGTTGTTGTTGTTGTTGTTTTTTGTTTATCTGTATAGCCTTGCATGTCCTGGAACTCAAAGAGGCTGGCCTCAAACTCACAGAGATACACCTGCTTCTGCCTCCCACCTTCTGGGTGCCTGGCCTGTTTGACTGATTTTATGCCATTAGTTTCCTGTGTTTTGTTGCAGCACTCTCATGTGTACCTAAAACATTCAATTCTTTATCTTTTCACTGTTCATATAGTCTTCAGATATGTAATAAAAGTACATTTTGTGATGATTCATAGAATTTGACTACTACATTTGGTATATTCTCTAAAAGCATAGTCATTTAAATTTGATAATATCAACTCACCAAGGAGTTCTTAATAATCTATGTCCAATAAAATACTAATATGGCATGAAGTTCCTAAAAGTACATTAGCCTAGGTATTTGAGATGTTTCAACCTAAGCATTTGGTGGCAGTGCCATTCAAGGCCTGAAGATTACTGGTGTAGACATAAACTAAAACCTAAAACATGCCCAGCCAGTATTGACATCCCTCCAGACTTGAAGCCCAGCAGTACCTTGGCTGTGTGACCTTGATATCTGTGGTCTCAGGTGTGAGCATGCAGGCATAAAGGCTCCTCTTGTTTTGTATTGGTTAATTAGATATTACAGAAACACTACAGGGCTCCCTGATCTGTTCCACAGTGTTTCCTCTCCAGGACACACTTGGTCTACTCAACCTTTCTTGCCCAAGGCTTCCTCTGTCCAGTTGATCCTCTTCTTCTAAATCAGCCACTCCTTCTGTATTTCTTTTTCCTTTCCTTTAGATTCTGCAAAGTTACCTCTTTAGGGAGTCACATTTTAGGTACCCTGTCCTGGCTTCATTTTTGGAAGTACTTACTGCTAGCTAACAGAGTCTCTATTTTTTAAACCCCCCTCCTTTTTTTTTTCTTTTCTTTTCCTTGTCTCCTGTTAGAGAGTTCCATGATGGTAGGAACTTTGTTTGATTTTATTTTTATGACTATAGTCCTGGTACCTGGAGGAGATAATAAGTAATTTGGAGAACTAATAGATACTGAATAATCTCAGCTCAATTCTTGTAAGTTACATGTGTCAGTTACTTGCAAAGTCATCTGATTAAAGTTGAGAAAAGGTTCCAGTACATTTGGAGGCTGTTAATTGCATCCTAATGTTGATTTGCTCAAGAGGAAGCAAACTGTTCTCCCCACCCTCCCCTCACGGGCCTGAAACTGTATGCATAGGCACTTACTTTTTTTTCTTTGTTTCATTTTGTATTTTGGTTTTGATTTTAGTTTTGTGGGGTTTTTTTTTCAGTTTTAGTAATTTATTTAGATTACTTAGCTTACAATGCAGATCATGTCTGTGAAAAAACACCTTTACCTTTCTTTCCAAATTACATGCAGCTTACTTACTTTTATTGTCCGATTACATTGCTTTAGTATTCCTTGTACATTAAGTATCAATGGAAAAAATGATAATCTTATATTAGAACAGATTTGATCCAGAAAATCAGTTTTACACTCTTTTTTTTTTTAGTTCAAGTTAGGGAACAAGTTTCTTTCACATGTAAGTCCCTTCTCCCTCTCCCTCCCCTCACCCCCATCCCTCCTCCCCAACTCCCAACATACACCCCACCCCATCCCCTTACCACTCCCCAGGCAGAGTAGGGCCCTCATGGGGGCTCTGCAAAGTCCACCAAATCTTCCTGTGCTGGGCCTGGGCCCTTCCCCATGTGTCCGGGGCCAGAGTGTATCCCTTCACGTGGGATGGGCTCTCAAAGTCCCTTCTTACACCAGGGAAAAATACTAATCCACTACCAGAGGCTCCCTGGAGTGCAGAGGCCTTGTGTTTGGTTTTTTGTTTAAGACAGGGTCTCACTATATAGTTCAAGTTGTCCCGGAACTCACTATGTAGATAGATCATGCTAGCCTTGAATTCACAGAGATCTGCTGGTTCTGGTGCTGGGATTAAAGGCATGTGTTATTATGCATGCCCAGCAACATAATTTATTTTCTTTAGTCTGGGCTTTAGGTAAAATTTGATTTCTAGTATCAGTTGACTGGAAGACATGACTGGCCAGTAGGAGGCCCACATGCTGCTAGTTCAGTAGCTTGAATAGGTGCATATATCCACATGCTTTCTTACAACTGGAGCTTGGCACAGGTAGTTGATTTTTGTTATGCTTAGGCTGTTTTGCTTATATTGAGATTAACAAAATCAGACATTTTTCTATATTCATAACTGTGCAAAAAGTAGGAATTACCATGAGGGCCTTTTGTTTTAAGAGAGAAGGAAGCCAGTTATTTAGGTAAAAGATATTTCCTGCCTCTTACTTATATACCTGGTTCATTCATTTATGCTATTTGCCTAGCTACTATAGTCATTTGAGTTTTCAGCCCCTTAAAGAGACGGGACACAAACATTTTAACGTATGTACATGTCAGTGGGTGTCATTAGGCAAAAGTACATTACATATCCTTGGGCAAGTACATTATGCCCTACATATGGAATGAATTTATAGTTTGACCTCTGCTTTTTGATGGTTAGGTTAAGACAGTCATTTTGTGTGGAGAGAACTTGGGAAGTCCTGTTTTTTGGCACACAGCAAGACAAATCTACAAATCTGGTAGTAGTCATGGGCTGAAAGAATACATTATATTGATGCCGGGCGTTGGTGGCACACGCCTTTAATCCCAGCACTCGGGTGGCAGAGGCAGGGGGATCTCTGGGAGGTTGAGGCCAGCCTGGTCTCCAGAGCGAGTGCCAGGATAGGCTTCAAAGCTACAAAGAAAAACCCCGGCCCCAAAAACCAAAAAAAAAAAAAAAAAAATACAGTGTATTGTTCTTTTGGCCCAAGATGTTTCTCAGTCATGCATTCCAGGTTTTCAGGGGCTAAGATGCTTTAAAAAAAAAACAAAAAAACATGGATTCATTCATTCTAGAGCTCATATCAAGTAGCCTATTTTCTCTTTTTCCTTAGTTGCCTCACTTGAGGTATTGCTTTAATGCTATTTTCCAGGTGAATTGACAGATAAAGTTAAATATAATATACCGAGAATAGCATTAAAATTCATGATGCTGTTATCTTGATTTGAACTTAATTACTAATCACTAATTACTTAATTATTAATTCTGTGGTGATCTAATGTGTTTTGTGTTTTTTGTTTGCAAGTAACTCAGAGCCTTGAGCTGTGAGAATTCAAAGGGAAGCTGCTTGAAGCAGGACTAATCTAACTGAAGAAGGTATAATGCTCAGATTTTATTAGAACAGATGAAGTCTTTATTTCAGTTCTTTTGACATGATGATTCACTTTATAGATGACTTCACTGTTTTGTTAGGAACAAACTTAGTACATTGAAGTATGATTTTAATTTATATATTCAAAAATGAAGTATGATCTTGAATTTAATTGTTTTTCCTGGCATTCCCCACCCCACCCACCTTTTTTTTTTTTTTTAACAGATTTTTTTGCCCTCCTCCTTGTGTATATCTTATGGGCAGTGGTTGGAAGAAAAAAAAAGAACAAATGGAGAGAGATGGTTGTTCGGAACAAGAGTCTCAACCCTGTGCATTTATTGGAATAGGAAATAGTGATCAAGAAATGCAGCAGCTGAACTTGGAAGGGAAGGTAAATTTAAAATATACATTCTTCATTCATTTTTGCAATATTATAGGTATTTTTTTCCATCAGTGTTTATTGTGTTTTTTTAGAGTGCTTTTAGCAACAGTTGTTTAAATGTGTATATCAGAATCAAAAGTATACCTGCAGGACAGCTATGTCTGGTGACTCATGGATGCTTTTCCACCTTCTTGACTGCCTTATCTGCAAGTCAGATTTCATTGGAGGCCAATAGTTTAGGAAACAAGCCCCTCATTTTCTGTCTGACAGGATTGTGATACTCAGATATTAGTGAAAATACATTCCGAAGCTTTGGTTTGCTCTATCCTTTTAATCTTCATCCCTCAATGTGAAGTGGCTGCTGACACGGGGTAGATAGAACATGGATCTGGGTATAACAGAGTGACCCTTGTCTAACCAACACAACACCAGCCCAGAACACAGGTTACTCCCAGAACAGTCTGTCTATTGCTTTGCTGACAGTTTTGTGAACACAGAAAATAGTAACAGTCAGTATACAACTTTAATTCAGGAAAATGGTTTGTTCATTTATTATACTTCCTAATGTTATTCTTCCTTAATATTAGTATCTAGAAACTGGTTCTGATCTCAGTGACTACCTAATATTTTAAGTAGCATATAAAGCTGTCTCCTTTTGTAGTGACTCTTTGTTGGCTAGCTTGGCGTTTATGTTTTATGACACTAGGATAGGATGGCCTACAATGTTGACTGTGGTGAGCTAGTAATTAGCATTCTTAATTACATTTAGTCGTGTTCATAGAGTACTAAGAAGCCATAAAGTTAACCTTCAAATCTGACTATTTATATGCCATTATGTTTCTGTAGTTTTTAATCAGTAAGGTGTGTTGCCATGGATTTTAAATTAGGTTTAGTGTAATGTTTATTGCAATAGTGAATGCTTATTGTAAAAGAAATAGAGCAGTAAAACCATTTTAAATTAAGACTGTTGAGCTTAAAAATATTTTGCAGAGGGTTTGATCTATTCTTTTGTTGTTATTTCTGTAGCTATATACAGCATACTCTACTCGTAGACATTCAATTCTTTAATGAGTAGATAAGTAAGTAATAAAAAGCCAAGGATCTGGCTACCAATATGTATAACTGTGATTGAACTTCATCTTATTTTTTTATTTTATTTTATTTTTATTTTTTTATTTGTTTTTCAAGACAGGCTTTCTCTGTGGCTTTTGGAAGCTGTCCTGGAACTAGCTCTTGTAGACCAGGCTGGTCTCCAACTCACAGAGATCTGCCTGCCTCTGCCTCCCAAGTGCTGGGATTAAAGGCGTGCACCACCAACGCCCTGCTTGAACTTCATTCCTATTTTAACTAGTTCTAGTTTCAGTCATTTTACCTCCCAGCAAGATAATACTAAACGAACCAACCAACCAATCAATAGCATCATTGTCTCTCCTAGGATACTGGTACCAAGCTTTGGGGACTGCCTCAGCATGAAGTCCTTCCTTCTGTCTATCCTATGTTAGACCTTATTACACAAGTTCTGGACATTGGTAGGATGCAAGCACACATGTGCATGTGAAGATGTAAAGGACTACTCAAAGGAGTCATCTATTCTCTCTTACCTTGTAGGACCCAGGGGGTGATCTGAAGGCTTGGCAACAAGTGCCTTTACTAACTGAGCTGTCTCACCAACTTGTGTTCACCTGTTTTATTTATGCTAGACAGTATCTTCTCTTTCTTGATGCAGATCATACCCAATCATGTTAGCATTCAAAACTAAGTGATCCTTATCTTAGGCTTTCCCACTAGAATGATGTAGTTCCCTTGTTTAGATACATTTTTCATTTTTCTTCTGTGACTGCCTTGGTACAATGACTTTATCCTATGTTCCAAAGCACAACAGTTCTAAATTTGACTTTTAGCTAGTATTTAAAAAAATATGGCTTATGTATGAAGTCAGAGATAGAATATCTCAGTACATAAGAGAACCACTGCAAAGGGCTATTGTATTTTGCTTTTATTACTATTGTTTATTTTGCCTTTTACACAGCAAGGCCTTTCAAAATTTAGAATATTCAGGGTCACATTTAAATTTTCTTATGTAACTATTATAGAGACAAATTATTGCAGTATTTTTATCTGCTACTAGTAGTATATATTAGTAAATCTTAAGGATAAAAGCCTAGAATTAAGTACTTTTTGGTGAGTAGTACTCATTTTAACAGGTGCACATTTTAAAAGGAGCACACAGTAGTAGCTGAAATATATTTTGGACATTGTTTGCCCTGTTTGGTAAAGGAGGTCAGTATTTTGGCCCAGGCCCCCACAGTTCACAGTGATCAGGAGTTTCCCGACCATTACATACAGGTGAAACAGTAACATTTCAAAGTATTGTTGCTTTTTGGCAAGTGAGTGTTTTCTCCTGTCTCTTTAAACTTTGTTGTTTTGGTAATGGTGTGATAATCGAAGTTTATCTCATTTTAAAATAGTTCTTTAGTGTATTCTTGAAGATACCTAAGATGTTTAATGGTCCCATTCACTCTAGCACTGTTACCACAGCATTCAGCCATATAAAGAGAAACATTGTATGAGCTAGTGTGAAAACTGCAACCAAAAGTTTATTTACACAATTCTACTAAATTATGATAGTCTTACTACTTTTGTCGTAGATAATCATCAGTTAAGTGAAAAAGTCGAATAATAGCTGTAACACTGAATGTTGATTCTGTGAAACATGTAAAGCTATATAAAACAAAGACTTTAAAGAGAGTAGTACAGAGAGTAGTACAGGCTTTTTTTTTTTTAAAGAGAGTAGTACAGGCTTTTTTTTTTTTTATAGAGCAAATGTTGTAGTCATTTTTGTAAAAAACTAAAACTCGATGTATTCAAATTAATGCCTTTGCTGGTAAGTGTCTTGTAGATACCTGGAAGAGTCTGTGCCTATGTTGAATGTTTTGCTGCTCTTGGTCCAGATGGACTTGTAGGAGCCAGCCACATTCATCCTGTGGATGCTCACCCTTAGTTACACTTGGGAAGACCAAGTCCTCAAGCATTGCTTTATTTGTCTACAGCTATCAGAGCTTGGTTCCTAGATATTTGGCTTATTTTTTTGTGCAGCTTTTTTTTTTTTTTTTTTTTTTGAGTTGACTTAGGCAATGCTTTCCTTCCCTTCCTGTACTAAGTGGACTTGATTCAAGTTGAGGAACTGGAATGATTGATGTAGTGGTTTCTTAACTACCCTGAAGACAGCTTTTTTAATGACTGTAATATTCAGTTCCCACAGCTGAACACTGAGATTCATTCATATCGTCTCCAGCTCGAGAATTGCCTAGGAGATGCTCAAGTTCAGCTTTCTGGACTAAGCTTTCTAGGCACATAAGCTGAGTTTGGTCTGTCCTTGCTGACCTCTATCTTCAGAAGAGGCTCACCTTTCATGAGCCTGTCATTCCTTCCCCATTGTTTGTTTTGAAAACTTCTTAAAGATTTCTCTTTAGAGAGCAATGTGAACAGTTCATTAGGTTATCCATATGAGTGGTATCATTCATGCTGTGTCAGATATAGCCACACCATTCTGAGTGGACGGTGCATAACCTCAAGGGTTTGCTGCTAGTAACACCACTTTGCTTTTCTTTCACAGAACTACTGCACAGCCAAAACATTGTACATATCTGATTCAGACAAGAGAAAACACTTCATGTTGTCTGTAAAGATGTTCTATGGCAACAGTGATGACATTGGCGTGTTCCTCAGCAAGCGGATAAAAGTCATCTCCAAACCTTCCAAAAAGAAGCAGTCATTGAAAAATGCTGACTGTATGTATGCTCAAGTTTCCTTATTTGTTCCCAGTTATCACATTACATTAATGAGACAAACTTTTTAAAACCTAAATTCATTGTTTTTGTTTTTTGGCCTTACTGTGTTTTACATTTAAGTATAAATAAGTAGTGTTGGGTGTTGGTGACGCGCACCTTTAATCCCAGCACTCAGGAGGCAGAGGCAGGTGGATCTCTGTGAGTTCGAGGCCAGCCTGGTCTCCAGAGCGAGTGCCAGGATAGGCTCCAAAGCTACACAAAGAAACCCTGTCTCGAAAAACAAAAAAAAATAGTGTCTGGCTTAATGAAGTGATTCATTCTCAGTTCGTGTTCTGAGAATCTGTTACTTCATTTCATTAGGATTACTTTAGAGTGGTTTCTTACTGTTCCAGGGAAATGGAGGGAATTTTCTCCTTTTGTCTCATTGACTGGGAGGGAAGATAAATGTTAAGCACCTGATGCTGTGGGCCAGTGATAATAAATGTCCTACAGTGCCCAAGGTAGTTCCCATTCCAAAAAAATCTATCCTTCCAGAATGGCGGAAGTACCCGTTTCCAAAAACATCATAGTATGCTCTGGAAAGCCAGGTAAGACACTAAACCAAATGTCTAAAGGTCTCTGCAGCAGGAGCTGCTGTCTCATGGCAGATTGTTAAACTACCAAGGCTGTCTGGGTACTGTCTGTGAGTTTACATTTCAGCACATTTGAAATTGGTTGACTGACTTGTATGTTTTTTGTTGTATAAACTTTTAAGTTTATGTAAAAGGAAGAAAGTAGCATCATGCAACAATCTCCCCAACCTCAGTAATTTTACTAACTCTGTTTTGTGGTGGGTCATTAACAGCACCTCTTCCCTTTCTAACTGCTGGAATATTTTGATGTAAATCTCCAACATCCTAATCTTTCAACTAACATTTCTGTAGTACTGACTCTTAATGCATGGCTTTTTTTTTTTTTTTTTTTAACCCCAACCCCACAAAATTTTCATTTTTTTTTTTTTTTTTTAGCACCAGACCTCACAAAGTTGACAGTCTTTTAATGTCATTTAATATTCCATGAGTAGATTAGTCATAGTGACTCGGCAATCTTTTTTTATATACAGTTTGTTGTTGTTATATTTTGTTCCATTTATAGTTAGCTTGTTCAAACATAGAATTAAGTAGGCCCATAAATTTTAATCTGTGATAGTTTTTCTATTCTCTCCTTACCTCCTTTAATTACTTATTGAAGAAACTGGGTCATTTTGAATCCTATGGAATTTTTATACTCTGGATTTGATTCGTCCCTTGTTTCTTTGCCTTAGGTTTTCTATGGCCTGATGATTAAAGACTTAAAATTAGCTGGTCATTCTCACTGGCTTAGAAATCGTAGAATATCTGGTTACCCCCTCCTTTTTGCCACATTAATACTGTAATAAGTTCAGCAGTTTGTTTAATTTCCTCCTAAGGCTCCTGAGAAACCTGTAAACTAGTGGTTTAGTGGCCTTTACTTCATCGAGGTACACACAGTACTGATTTTCCAATTCTTTTATATAACTTCCACATACTTAGTCTTTATTCCTATCAGTTATTTAATATGGAAAATTCCGTACCACTGAAGCAAACAGAATTACATAATAATGGAAATCCTAACTTCAATAGTGACTTAATTTCAGGCCAGTCTTATTTCATCATAATTCATTCTTCTAGTTCAGTCTGCTTTCCTACTTATTTGTAGTTTGATATAATCTCAGACATTTGCTTCCTATAGCTACAACAGATAGAATTTCTTATTTTTTAATAGTATAATACCATGATCATAAGAAAATAGCATGCAAAGCAAGCATAAGGAGAGATGCTTCTAATGTTCTGTCAGTGTTCAAATTTTGAATGGTCTAAAATAATTGAATTTTTAACCAAGTGAGTCAAAATTGAAATTCACTGGATGTTACAATATACAGACAACATTGCCATCTACATGGGTATTCTTAATCTATGTTCCCATGCAGTTTACCTGAGGCATTAGGAATTTATGCATTCAGATTTGTTAAGTTCATTCTTTTGGTGTGGTTCAATGTATGTTCTATAAATTGGTAATGTTTAGAAGAAACAGCTGCCACAGTGAACAATGGAAAGACAGACTTCATTTAGTACTCTTTCAGGAGAAGAGACTTTAGTATAGAGTCATGTTCACTTTCAATATAACAAAGGCAAGTTCCAGTTTTCAGCCAAGGAGGAAAATGAGGGGCCTAATGGATGGAAAAAAATCAATCAATCACTCAATCAAGGACAAGGGAGTTTTTGCTAAAGCAACTTTATAGGAGTCCTGATATGACAGCCGGAGTGATTCCTGTATCAAGGGAAGGGTGTGACTGATTTGCTAAAAACCAGACTTAGAAGGTTGTGCTGGGGCCCAGGTGAAAACTGATAGAAAGGAATGCTGGGAGGAGGACCTCTGAAGTTTGTTCAGGAGGACAGTTTGTCATGGTCATATTTAAGCTTGTTCTTTCTTTGTTTTGGTAAGTCCTCATTGATGGCCATATGCTCTTGTGTACCAGGTCATATCTGGCATCTTGTCTGGTATTCAGGCAGTTTCCAGTTCAGATTTCAGAGGGCTGAGGTTTTAGTTTGGGGCGGGTATATTTTTTTAACTTCTGAATATTTTGTTAAGTTGATGTGCCTTTTACATCTAAAGTACATCTTTATTTTTAAATTTTACAAATTATAAAACAGGTATTGTTTTTCAGCCAGGCGTTGGTGGCGCACGCCTGGTCTACAGAGCAAGTGCCAGGATAGGCTCCAAAGCTACACAGAGAAAACCCTGTCTCGAAAAACAAAAAACCAAAAACAAACAGGTATTTGGGAGATTGCAGAATTCCCTAAAATCATAATGCAGTGGGACTGCCTGTAGAGACCTTTCAACATGTATTTTATAGGGTTTTAATGAAAGTACCTAGAAGCGCTCCTGTGCTCATACAGAAGTGTGTTTGTTGCTTAGTAGGACCACAGTGTATAGAGTGTTTCACCATTGGCCTTTTCATTCAGTAATATTCCAGGAATTTATGTAGACATAGTTGAAATACATGAATGTTACTATAATCAATTTAATCAAGTGTCTACCAATAGACATTTGTTTTTAAAATAATTTTCCAACTAATAATTGTCACAACATTAAGTGCATTGTGTAACGCTTTCTGAGTGAGAAGTTGACAGCTGACTGAAGGGTACAACATGGTTCTTTCCATTACTTGTTTTTTTTTTACTTCTGCTTTTTGTAAAGCCCATACTAAATTAAAAATGAAATTAATTAAAAAGAAATGAAAGTAGGCAGCAGTGATGTCTAAACACAGTACTCAGGAGGCAGAGGCAGGTAGATCTCCGAGTCTGAGGTTAGCCTGGTCTACAGAGCAAGTTCCAGGACAAGACAGGGCTATGGGAGAAACCCTGTCTTGAAAAATCAAACAAAACAAAGAACTGAAACTAGTTTTAAAAAACAAACAACAACAAAAAAAACAACCCAATTTTTGAAAATCTTTTATGTCATTATCTTGATAATATTGAGAAGAAATAGACCTTGTTTTCTTTTTCCTTTTCTTTCTTTCTTTTTTTTTTTTTTTTTTTTTTTTTTTTTTTTTTTTTTTTTTTTCCTAACCCTTTGCTTAAAAGGCTAAATTATTTGCCACCAGAATCTGTTCATTATTTGTATTATTGTAAAAATACTCATAATTTGCCAAGCAGAAATCCTTTGTTTTGTTAACCTCTGCCTCAGTCATATAAATAGGAATCCTCTTGTCATTGCAGTGTGCATTGCCTCAGGAACAAAGGTGGCTTTGTTTAATCGACTTCGATCCCAGACAGTTAGTACCAGATACCTGCATGTAGAAGGAGGAAATTTCCATGCGAGTTCACAACAATGGGGAGCATTTTATATTCATCTCTGTGAGTATAAAAATACACATTTGATATTTTCAGTATGAAAATAATATATTCTCTTTAGGGGGATAAAATGTATGAATATAGTCATTTTGTTGTGTCTTAAACATATACTAAATTTTAAAAGATAGCAATTTTGTCTATTTTGCACCCACTATAGTGGATGACGATGAATCAGAAGGAGAGGAATTCACAGTTCGAGATGGTTACATCCACTATGGACAGACTGTCAAACTTGTGTGCTCAGTTACTGGCATGGCACTCCCAAGATTGGTAAGACCTGGTTATATGAGATAGAAACAAACTAGGAGAGATAGAAAAGTGTAGTTCAGTTTTTATACTTTTAGATGTGAAAATGTAATGTCCCAATTATCCCCTATTAGCCGTTGCCTCAATTCGTAAGTGCCCTTAAAGAATTAGTCTGCTGTGAGTGCATTGCTGAGGTCAGTCTCTTATGCCATTTTAAATGAATTTGGTGTTGGTTCCCTTTTTGATTGTGTGTCTGTTATTTTTTTCTTGAATGTTGCAGATATACTGTATTCCTTTGTGTGTGTTACCTGCTGTATCTGAATGTAGGACCAAGTTTTCAAAAGCCTAGATACATACATATAATTTTTATTAGGCTACTTGACTGAAACATTTGTTTAAAATTTGGTAGAGTTTAATTTCTTGCTTTGGGAACAATGCACAGGATTGGGGCATTTTTGTTCATTAGATCATAAAACTATAAAGACACTCTTTTCCCTGTAAGTTGAAAAAAAAAAACCCAAAATTCTGCTTTCCAGAACTGTAAGTTTAAGATGCATATTAAATATCTTAAGTGGAAATGTTGACTAGTTGTGACATATGCAATGGCACTATGAAAGGTCTGTTAGAGCAGGCATGGCTCTAGGAAAAATGTCTGAATCAGGTGCTTCAGAGGCTGTGAAGCCCTGTGGAGGAGAAATGCATGAGGGTCACCTTTCTGGAGGCTCTTGGTGGCCTTGGTGAATAGTTAACAAAGGAAACTTTGAGACAGAAGGTTATAGGGCAGTGGTTCTGAATCTGTGTGTTGTGGCCTCTTTGGGGGTTGCATATCAGATATTTACATTATAATTTGTAACAGTTTCAGAATTACAGTTATGAAGTAGCCATGAATTTTATGGTTAGAGGGCACCACAATGTGAGGAAAGGGTCTCAGCATTAGGGAGTTTGAGGACCACTGTTATGGAGGCTTCAGGAGACTGGACTGTGAGAACGATGTCTGTCTTTCTCAAGTAGCACTGAGAAACAGGCTTAGGGAGAGGGAAGGAAAGGCATGCTGAAGGAAAAGGCTTACAGTATTTATAAGTATTTATAATGTGTTTGTATGCTCTTGGGAACAAGCAGCAGTTTCTCTCCATGGAACTTAGTGACTACCTGTTGTGCCTTGTATCATTTAAAGTTTGCTAGCATTGTCTTTAATGTACACACATGGGTTCTCTAGAATGCCTAGATTGGTGGTTCTCAACCTGTGTGTTTCCACCCCCAGGGATCCTTGAGTGGCTTTGTCATAGGGGGTCACCTAAGACCATCAGAAAACACAGTATTTACATTATGATTCATAGAAAAATAGCAAAATGACAGTTATCAACTAGCAGTGAAAATAATTTTATGGTTTTGGGGGTCAGGTCATCACAATTCGAGGAACTGTGTTAAAGGGTCACAGAATTGGGAAAGTTGAGAAGCACTGATATAGTAGCTTACTGTAGATGTTTCCTTGAGGTATTAAATTTATATATTATTGAAAAGATCACTAGAACCTGACAGTGAAAATCCTTGTATCTATTAGCAGCATTCACAGCACCAGTGTGGTACAAGTGTAGAATGCTGGGCCCCAAGTGTGTTAGGCATTTTTAGTCAAGAACTCCAGACAATTTATGTATATATTAATGTTTAAAAAGCACTAATCTATATTTTTGGTTGTGAGCCTAGCCTTTAACGGCTGAGCCATCTCAAAAAGCACTAATCTAAACAATGAATGAACGCTTTCCTTATTTCTTAATGTATTCTTTGAAGGGGTGATTTCCACATTTAATAAACATATGTTTATAAAATTTATGACTTTTTATTCCTAACCTTATTGCTTAATAATGTCTAATACGTAGGTATAAGGCTAGTGACTGATACATCATCATGTAGTGTATTCTATGGCCTATGACAGTGTATAAAATAAAAACTGCATGTGGATGACTTACTTTTTTAAATTGTTGGAATACAGATAATTAGGAAAGTTGATAAGCAGACAGCATTACTGGATGCAGACGACCCTGTATCACAACTCCACAAATGTGCATTTTACCTTAAGGATACAGAAAGAATGTACTTGTGCCTTTCTCAAGAAAGAATAATCCAATTTCAGGTATGTTATAAAATGATTGGTGAAATCCAAGCTATGCAAATAGGGCTAGGGTGCTGCTTTGTGACAAATACCTGCCCAGCACTATATTCAACCCCAGTAGTGCAGATCAGTAATGACTGGATGAAATGTGCTGAAAAACTATTGAATTAACAGTTTACAGAGACATCCTTCTTACTGGTTGTCAATTATATCCACATACAAGAAGCTGGGTTCATATGTTTATCTTAGGTTATTGGTCCTTAACACACACACTACTCTCACACATACCTGTGAACTTCTAAATAACTTAAAACTAAGAGAACATTTTTAGAGAAGAGTTTTTACGGCAAGTTCAGGATTCTTAATCTGGCATTCAGAGAACCTCAGAATATCTTAATAGTAGAACACTGGTCTTCAGTGGCTCCTCCAAAATGTTGTATAGAAACATACACACTGTGCATTCAGCAAAAGGGTTCAAATCTTCATCTGCTTTACAGTGGGGCCACCCATTAGTAACACTGACAAGATTTAAGTGCTAATATTCAATTACATTTACTCACAGACTTTCAAGAGGACACTTAGGACATGAATTGATGATATAGGATAGCTGCAGTTTCATGCTGAACTCTGCTTTGCACCACTGTTGCAGAGGCATGGCTCTATACCACACTAATGGGAATACTGGGTCCCAGGTCAGGGTTTGGGACTGTGAAACAAAGTTCACAGACTTTGTTTCTTCCTCCTGGGAGTGCCATAGTTCTCTCTTTCTTTGTGAGTCCACTTGCATTTTGTGTCACAGGTACTGATCTGTTAATGAAATTATATAATAATAAGCTGCATGCCTTTAATCTCAGCACTTGGGAGGGAGAAGCAGGTGGATCTCTGAGTTCGAGGCCACCCTCATCTACAGAGAGAGTTCTAGGACAGCAAGGACTACACAGTGAAACCCTGTCTTACAAAACAAAACAAAAAAGAAATTATATAGTAATGGGACACTCTTGAGTGATTGCTAAGAGGTGGACTCATTACTTAATGTATCACTGAAGTGTTGATATTCAAACAAAAACTGCTGCCTGTGCGGCTTCATGTTAACATTCTACATGTAGGGATTAAGTGTATTAGGATGTTCCCAGATTTTATTTTTCTAAATTTTCTCCTAGTTAACTCAAGTCTGTGAATGTTACTTGGTAATTCTCTTATACTGTTATGTATATAAAACTCAGTATATGAACATTTGTTTTTCTTAAGGCCACTCCATGTCCGAAAGAACCAAATAAAGAAATGATAAATGATGGAGCTTCCTGGACAATCATTAGCACAGATAAGGCAGAGTATACATTCTATGAGGGAATGGGCCCTGTCCTTGCTCCAGTCACTCCTGTGCCTGTCGTAGAAAGTCTTCAGGTGAGACCACTTAGTCACAAGGTGGCTTTAGCCTTTACTGCTGTTCTTATCTATAACCTGCCATAAACTTATTTCGCTGTGGTACTGATTTTTCTGTAAGTGTTATGATTTTGGGGTCTCACTGCATATACTATTGATAGGAAATAAAATAGAAGCAACATGATTATATGGAAGAAAGTTTAAATGACAGTGAATGTTATCTTGAAATAGCATTAGCTAGAACAGAAATGTTCTATAAATCTTAACTTACATTAACCTTCATGAAAATGAAAGCAAGTATAACCCAAGCTGTGTTCTTTAGTGGAGAGTGAAAAACTGTCTCAATATTGTGGTTTCTCTGAATTGCAGTTGAATGGCGGCGGGGATGTAGCGATGCTTGAACTTACAGGACAGAATTTTACTCCAAATTTACGAGTGTGGTTTGGGGATGTAGAAGCCGAAACAATGTACAGGTACTGATTGATAGAAGCTGTTCTATCACCCAGGGGAGGGGAGGGTGTAGTTGATGTAGAACTGTGCCTTGCTTTGAAAATGCTTCTAAATGGTGTGTGTTTCTTCTCAGATGTGGAGAGAGCATGCTCTGTGTGGTCCCAGACATTTCTGCATTCCGAGAAGGTTGGAGATGGGTCCGGCAGCCAGTCCAGGTTCCAGTAACTTTGGTCCGTAATGACGGAATCATTTATTCCACCAGCCTTACCTTTACCTACACACCAGAACCAGGGCCGAGGCCACACTGCAGCGCAGCAGGAGCAATCCTCAGAGCCAACTCAAGCCAAGTGCCCACCAACGAATCAAACACAAACAGCGAGGGAAGTTACACAAATGCCAGCACAAATTCAACCAGTGTCACATCGTCCACAGCAACCGTGGTGTCCTAACTACCGTCTTTTTGCTAGGACTTAAACTGACTTGAATGCAGCAAAAAGTTGACAAAAAAAGAAAAGAAAAAAAAAGGCAAGGATAAAATGAACAATCTTTTGTGGTTTCTTGGGAAAACTTTTCATACCAGGTGATCAATTCAGAACCCCATTATTACCTGCAAGTGCTGATGTGATGTGCAGAAGCCACAGTAAAACGAAAAACATCCAAATGTACAAACCGTTGGAAATCAAGGTTTTCAGCTCTCTCTCTCTCTCTCTCTCTCTCTCTCTCTCTCTCTCTCTCTCTGTCTCTCTCATACACACACACCCCTTTTTGGTTGGTTTTTGTTTGGTATTGATTAAATGGTCAAGAAGTAGATATGTGGCTGGAGTACAGGTTAAGCTAGAAGACACAAACTAACATAGTTTGTATGGACCAAGGGACTTGCATAAGCTTTAGTAAAAGGTACATTTTCACCATGCCTTTTTTGTATCACAGTATGTAGTACACCTTGTTACCAGTAGGTTGCACTCTCCACCCCTCTGAGCTTTGGCTCTAAAGTACATTCAGGTTCAAGCCTGACCATGTTTGTTCAATCTGAGTACCAAACACTTCCAGGTTCTTTTGGTCTAAGGCTGGAACTTTTTTTAAGCTGAAGTCTTATGACTTTTTCATAAGTTGGAATTATTTTGATTTCAGCAAGTCAAATTTTGTAAAGGCCTGCATATTTTTTTTAAGATTATATGAAGTCTGTGCAAAAGCTTTAAAAAATGCCTCTGCCTTGCCTGCAATACATGCAATGTATGTTAATTTAGTCTATTCTCAGATACTGTTAGTAGTTATTTCTGTTTTCTTTTTTTAAAATGTATTTATAGTGGTAATCCAAGAGATTCTAACATTTACGTGGAGTTCAGTGTGGCCATTTAGTCATTTCTGAGTTAATGGCACAGAACATCACCATTTGAAGGTTTGCGCCTCTTTGCCTGTTCGTCAGTTTGTCTGTGTTCCAGGGTTTGTTCAGGTTTCCTTCCTCCCCCAAATCTTGTACATAACTTGTATTATGTGTAAGTTAAACATTTTATCTTTAACTTGGAATGTTCCCAGTGATTACATTTAACAGGGTGTTCCCTCTTGGCTTATTCTCCCCTTTGTGGGAAAAAAAAAAAAAAAAAAAAAAAAAAAAAAAAAAAAAATATCATGAAAATATTTGCTGCCAAGATGGTGCCCTTAGGGTAAAATGAGGAAAGTCTCTGCAAGAAAGATGATCTATTGTATTTCATTTTCCTTTTTTAGCCTAGGCCAGAACATCATTATAATTCTAAATATAAGATCACAAGATGGCTTTTTTTTTTTTAGATGATAACTAAGTAAAATAGCCAGAAGACAGTACATTAGAAACAGATAGTTGTAAGTTTATAAAAATACAAATGTAACTTATATTTTCATTTCCCCTTTTGCCCTTTGTCTGTTTTTCCCCAGTAGAAATGTTCTGTCCAATTTTTTTTTTTCTTTTCTCTTAAACTTTGGTTGCACTCGGGCTTGTGTGTCAGCCTTGTGTGCTAATATTGCCAGTTGTATTTTGTTTCCATTCCTGCACTTTGGTAATGCCTTGTTCAGTTTCTTGGGAATTGCAGCAGACTCATTGGGCTACATTTAGTACAGGAAGTACATGTGTGATGTTAAAGGACACAGTCTAGTGATGGCATCCTCCTTTGTAGAGTAAAAACTACCTCTAGATTGTGGTAAGCTTTTACTGTCCCTTAAAACAGGAGCCACAAGTACCTTCTGATGCAAACTGTAATTTCTACTGCATTTTCGATGTCTTTCTGGCTCCCTGAACTTCTGAAAGTTTTCATGTAGACTTGTTAAAAATCCTTTTGTCAGAAGCATTGTTTCCCATCTTTGCTGCTTTGTCTTGTCACTCACCATTTCCTGGAGACTGTGCCACTGTAAAAGCTACTCTGAACATCTATCTGTAAACTGTCTCCTCCTCGGTTTTTCAAGGGGGAGGCCATCTGTAAAATGTGTGCTGGTTAAATGTGTGCTGTGGCTTTCTCTTACTGCCAGCCTTCTTAATCACACAGGCTGCGCTGTACTAGATGTTGTAGCCATTTCTCTTCAGATCTGATGCAGACGGTCTCCTTCCCCGCCTCATACCTTCATTCTGCTTCAGTGATCAAGGGCAGAGCTCACTGTGGCCTTACCTATCTTTGCAGTAACTGTTCTCGGTTTCCTTCAGACCTGCTTCTTCCCAAGCACCACTCCTCAGTTGCCGTGGAAGCAGGACACTGCAGTCTGTTCAGAGCCTGAGCCGTCTCAGCGTCTGTGCTTTCCCAGGTCACAGGTCTCCTCTTCCTAGATTTGGGATTTAGTTAAATCATTAAGTTAACCGAGAACAGATGAGATGCTTTTGAAGAACAAACTATTCCTTACCCAGCTTTGTAGCTTAAAGTAACTGTTCAAGTTCATGGCTTTATTAAAATGAACTTTGACTTTTTTTTAATGTTTATATCTTATTTCGGTTCTTTTGTTTATTTTAATAAGAATTGAAGTAACTAGACTATAAGTCGTTTTCCTTTTTCTTTTTTTTTTCTTTTTTTTTTCTTTTTTTTTTCTTTTTTTTACAAAGTCCAAGAATGTAACAATAAAGGCATCTTTCCTATGGTTCTATGCCAGAGTCCTACCACAGAATAGAATGAACTGATATGTCTGTTTACCATGTTATTGATAGTTCTTTTGTCAGCTGCTTTTATTAAAAGTCCTTTTTGTGGATTTGTAAATCATTTTCAATACATGATGTAATGTATAGGAGTCTTGTCCCCCATTTACTCGGAATGTTTCCTCCCAGATGATGCTGTTACAGATTCTAGGCGTTTACTCTCAAGAAGATTTCTTAGAACTGATTTCTTCAGTTGCAGTGTGTGGGTTTGTGTTTCCATTCCTTTTAGAATGAGTCTGCACAGCTTCTCAAAACATGTCTAGATGTAGAACCTGAGCCCCAGCATGGTTTTTAGCCGCTTAAATTTGTCAAGATTTGGAAGGCAGGTCAAAAACTGAAAATGCGGGATGCCCTTTACATGATTGCAGAGCCGAATACTAGTGGGATTTTGAACTCGCTGCTAACCGCTCTTAAACTGTGGCAACTTCCTCATGTACAATTAACCAGTGGACTCATCTGTCACTCTTACTGCCATCATCTTTTACAGTTTTGTATCATAATTTTTTGTATGGCGCTTGGGTCGAATCCAGGGCCTCAAGCGTATTTGGTAAGGCTTTTTGTTTGTTTGTTTGTTTTTTTCCATGAGAAAAGGATCTCACCCATGTAGCCCCTCAGACCATTCTTGAGCTTTCCTGCCTTAGCCTCCAGGTGCTGGGATGCCAGGTATGGCGGAATGCCACCACTGCTTTTGCCTTTAGAGAAACTGGTCTATCTGTCCAACCACAGAGAAATTCCAATGTGATTTTTATTAACACAACTAGTTATTTAATCAGAAAATCTGTTGGGGGGGGGCATTCCTATTTGAAAGAAAATGCTATTTGATTATTAACCAAGTTAATGGACATTGTTTTCCAAAGCAGCTGTGTTTCTGGTGAGTACTGAACAAACGTGTGATTTTCTGTGTCACTTGATTTATTTTTCAAGCACTGTAACTTGGGATGGATGGTTAGAAACAATAATTTATTAGGGTTTCTACTTAACCCGTTCAGGACTGAGCTGTATCACCTATTAATTTCTCCCTGTGTCGTGATAAATGTTTGCCAGCATTCAGTACTGTGTCAGTCCCAATGTAGGTTTATGTAAAAGCTCAGTTAGTTTATTTCTTGTACCTTACAGCATGCTCTACACTTCAGTCCTCAAGGGGTTACTTTACAAACTGTGCGCCTGTAAGGGTTATTAGCAATAAGATAGAAAATTGAGCAAGTTTATACCATAATTTTGTAGAAAAAAGAATCTGCTCAATTCCATATTTCATCCATGAAAAAATCTGCAATACGGGCAGTTTCTAGGAATAAATAAAAAGGAAATGTAAACCATTGTAAATGTCTTCTGTGGGATGTGCCTGATGCATGTATCATCGTCTTTGATTTCAGAACTCTTCATAAAGATCAAATTAAATTCCATATTACAGTTTGTGGACTTAAAATCTTACCTTGTCTTTTAGATGACATTGAAGTAATAATTATGCTAAATTAGTTTCCTTTTCAGTATTAAAAAATGATTTTTCTTTCTTGTGTTTGGGAGTTACTACTCAAAGGGCACATCTCCCAAGCCAACCCCAACAAAAATGGAGACTGCTTTCTAGCAATGGCTTGTTTTCTAGTACAGAGTTGTCATTTGGTATAGAATACCAACAAAACATAACACCAGTTTATTTATGCCTTTAGGAGGCTCCCCAAAATGGGGCTGAGCATACTTAATGTAATATTGAGACAAATATAAAGGAAAAAAAATCACACCATTTCTGATCTCAGGTTTAGTGCTTCCCTGACCTGACCTTCAAAAAAGGAGCTGTAAGAACTTTGATAGGAAGAATCTTAAGAAACAATTTAGTTGAAATTTGCTTCGTGGAGTCTATAAAGATTGAGACTTTCAGTGGATTGTTTGATTTATAATTTATAATAACAAGCTTGTAGTCCATACTATATGTGATCTTTTCCTGGGCAGTCTTAAAAACAATTGATTTTAATACATTGTGTCTTTGGCTGTTGATCCCTAAATGGTCACTGATTACAACAGTACAGAAGGCAAGATATGTTACATTGCACATAAAATAATATGAGTGGTCATAGAGGGAAATCTCAAATAAATAAATAAATAAATAAATAAATAAATAAATAAATAAATAACGTACACAGACTCTTTGGTTAGGAGTAGGGTCACTGACATTCCTGAAGAAAGAATATTGAGTCCAGTCTAAGGTGCTGCTATGTCTGTGGATGTAGGAAACATGGTGAATCTTAACCAAAAACTGCAGCTAAGCCATGACACAAGAGGAAGTTGTGCCAGTAACATGCA